GATCGAGATGGCCCTAGGAGAGCAATTCTATAAGCTTAATGTATCTCTTACAGTGTCCATACAAAATGATTAATATTATGAATGTTCATATGCTTGTTGGACAAGGAGAGGAGAAACACACCCATGGGATTCCGCTCTTGGGTGGGTCGTCCAGCTGAGAAGGTATCTGTCCTAGAAGAAGTACCCCCTGAGGGAAAGAACTTTACCCCTGTTGATTGTGACCACGCCTATGGGTAAGCCCCAACCCCTCATCTGTTGGGATATAACTAGACTGTAAGAGTGGGCTGGGGGATCAGAATCCAGACTCCAGAAGGAGAAGGAGAAAGGGGATCCAGATCCAGATTCCAGAGCCAGCAGGAGAATGAAGGGGGATGGAGAAGGAGAATGAAGTAGCATGGGGGAGGAAGAAGCAGGAGGAGAATCAGAGGAGAATGGAGATGGGGATGGAATAAACTGCAACTGACACCAACCAGCCTGGCCCTCGTTTCCTTCCTTCACCTGCCCATCACCATCGACCTCCCCAGGGTGGGGGAAGCAGTGTGAGACTATGGAACGCAGGCGGCAGGAGAGATAGACCTCTGACTTTTTTGTGTTTACACAATTAACCTCTCAAAATTTTCCAAAGTCTACCAGTCACATCTGGAATAAAATCTCGAGTCGTTATTGTGGTCTAAAGGCAGGCATGAATGATCTCGTTCCTAAATACCTACAAGTACATTATTTTTTGCTTTTATTCTCAAACTTGACAATTTTGGAGAGACACCAACTCCATTCTTTGTAAATTAGCGATTCTTTCACTTCCATTTCATCTCTCTCTAGCCTCACTGTCTACTTACATGTCCTTGGCTTATCCTATCACAGTCAATTCCTGTTATTTATGGCAGCTATTCTCTCTAGAGCCACCCTAAATGCTGGATTTGTGAATTCCTTCCTCCTGGCAAAGCACAGGGTTAAAAACTCCTGTGTCCATCTGAATATGTATTCACCCTCGGCACAATTCATAACTCATTCTTATGTGTTCCTATTTAACGTACCTTACTCAATGCAGGCTGTTGAGTCATTAACTTACAGTCAACTTTGAATTTATAGCCAATTGTTGTATTACACTTGCCTGCCTGAACCTTATCTTATTTCATGTATGTAATACCATAGCTTTTATGAACTTAGGAGCACTGGCAATATTTCAGTCCTCTGCTTAGGAACCATTACGAAAATAACAATTTGTGCTGGACAGATATCACACACCTTGCATGCAGCTGACCTGGTCTCTGAGCTCGGTAGGACATGGCCCCATGAGCATCACTGAAAGTATCTTGGAGACTCCAGAGCACAAAGGGACCTGAGTAGCACTGTACCCTTGGGCCCCACATTGAATCACCAGTGTAGTTGTCTGAGTATCACAAGGAGGGACCCCCTCCCCCGCAGACACCTTGAGCACAGACTGGGAAAATTCCTCCAAAAATAAAGAAAATACAGTACCAAATCCAGTTGAAATTTTTCGATACTCTGCACATTTATTATGTGGCCAGATAGAGGCACTACAGGTATTGATTTTGTGGTTACAAATAAATTTTAGTAAGTGGGAAAATTCATAAATAGAAAACTATGAATAAAGAAGACTAACTTGATTTATTCACATGTCCTCACAATACTAACTCCTCTTGATGTTGATGTTTAAGTTTTATTATAGAGGAAAGTTCTGTTTTCTGCTCTTCCCCAAGTGTTTAGACAAGCATCTCTTCCAGGAACTTATTGTGAGCTACGTGAGTAGCCATACTTGATTCAAATATGGAAAGGTAAAATCAATTTAAAGCTTTTAAACTATACTTTTCTCCCTTTTGCTTATTTGTATCAAATCTTTGAAATCCTGCTTAATCCACTAAATACTTAACAATACACTTTAACCTGAAAAAGAAAGATTTCTAAAGGCTCAAATCTTCCAGGAATCATCATGTTAGAAAATTCAGGTCTCAAATGATTACTGGTACATCATAAGTCCCCAGAGAGCATCACTGAAATAATTTTATTTATTCCTTATTTTCTGTGTCTCAGACACTGTACCAATAAACTCACATACTTCAGATCACTCATCTGTACAACTACAATTTTATTAGCGACAGTCACCCTCTTTTGACAATTCATTAGTGAGATGTCCAAAGTCTCTGAAAACGGACACTTGAGTACTTAACAGTCTGACTAAATAAAATGTCCTCCCAAACGTCGTTGTAAAAAGTCACTGGAACCGTTTTGTTTTAAATGTGCATTAAAATGCTAGTTAAATGATGTTTTTTGACTATGGGAGAAACCACTTGATTCTGGAAGCTGTTCAGGTTTGACCAGATAGAGTGCACTTGTCTTACTATTTTAAGAACCAGGTAGTACTAATTAATAGATGTTTTACATGTCTGAGTGATTAATCACGCTGTCAGTGTCTCTCAGTGTCACTGTGACTTGTGAGAGTCTCTCCGGGGAACTGGCGAGACAGCAGGCATGACTTGGGAGTATTGAGCATCTGGTATCTTGTTTTTCACAATTTCCAAGATATCTGCTACCAGCACCATAAAGGGAGCTATTATCTTTGAAAACGACACAGGTCTCTTTGGTTTTCTATTGAGTGGAAGACCTGTTGCTATTTTCTTCTTTTCTGTGGAACAAAAATTGCTGAATTTTCACACAAATTCTATGATAAAATGAGAGCACACGATGCATTTTGAATAGAAATGTAAATTATAAATGTATAATATTTACATTCTTTAAAGACTGTAGGATGGTTTTAATCAATTCAGAAGAATAACCCGCAACTGATGAGCACAATTTTTGTATGTGTGTGTTCAAATTCTGCTATATAAATAGCTACCAGATTAATCAAAGTAATTTGTTGGAGAGGCGGGGGAATGGTGACAAGAGAAGGTTAATCAATCAGAGCAATTGTAGAATAATAAATACTATTTTGATTCAGCACACACTGGAGAGCTCTCACGCTCAGGGTAAAAATTGCAAATCATGCTTCAATATCCTGAAGTCAGAATCTGATTGCAACCAATATAGCACTGCATGGAGGAGAAAAAATTCAACCAGTATAGTTTTTATTTCAATTTTGTTAGATGTGCAATGTCCTCAGTATCAAACAATAAAATAAATCTCATGAAATTTGCATTAAAAATTCATATATAAGGGGGAAGAGAGAGAAAGAGAGGAGAGAGAGGGAGAGAGAGAGAAAGAGAGAGAGAGAGAGAGCGAACACATTTAATGTGCCAAGCTCTTGCTTTGCAGACAAAAGAAGATCTGGGTGTGACTCTCAGAATCACATGGTCCCCTGAATACCACCTTTAAGCACAGAGCAAAACCCTGAAGCACTACTGGTTGCATCCCTAGAACAAAACAAATGTTCCTAGAGCAGCAAAGTGTGTTAATCCTGTGACCTTTGAATCCAACTGGTGATTCCAGTTAGGAGACAGATGTGGAACAGTCCCAGTGCAAGGAAGAAGATGGGTCCTCCGAGCTCTGAGCTCCCTTGCGGCCAAAAGGGACAGCATTGGAAGGACGGTCTCCAGCACTGGCTGCAGAGTGACTGGCCAAGTGGACTCTCAACAGTGTGCCCACTCTGTGTGTCCTCCTCCCAGCTGATCCTCACTGGGCAACGTGCTCTGAGAATCCCCTTCACTTAAGACCTTCTAGGGAAGCTAAATCCTCCCTGTAAAGTAACAAAGATCAGAATAATGGTGAATTTTATCTATCAGAATGGATTAAGGGATGCCCGTATAGCTAGTGAAACATTTATGAGTGCGTTTGTGGTGGTGGCTTCAGATAAGATTCAGTTTTGAATCTGTAGACTGGGTTAGGACGGCTTTTGCTCTCCTATGACTCAGCAATTCCACTCCTTGGATGTACTAAAAACAAAATACCATTAAAAGAAAAGAAAAAGATAGTATATATTCATACCTATAGCTAAGGTGTAGAAACAACCCAAATACCCCACAGTATATGGATGGATTACAAGTTGTGAGAGATACGCATAAGAGAATGCAAAGTTGCTTTCAGAAAAGATGAAGTCATGGGGTTTCCTTCAAACGAGGGAGAACTGAAGGATCTTGCTCATGCTGAGTAAAATCAGCCTGACAGAGAAGGACAGAGAGCAGATGTCATCACTTACCTGTGCTGTAAAGGAAACAAAACGCTACTAAGGATAGCGTTTCTCTATACAGAAATAGAGAGATACGTGTGTATTTGTAGGTCTGTATGCATAGGTCTCTGCATTTTACCGAAGAGCATTGATCTGAATTGCACAGCAAAGTCAGAAACATGTCCCCTAGTATAGAATACAGATGATCTTATTTATAACTTCAAATTATTTTTACAAACCATTCTCACTTCATAAACAAATTTCATTTTCACTTATAAGATTCTGGACTATTTCTGAAGGGATAAGATTGCAAAAGCACTTATAAACTAGGTGTTACAAACTGATTAGACGCTGTCTCTGAGATTTGGATCGCAGCTGTATTTTTATTAGATCCAAGAAATGCTTTTGTGAATTTATGTTTTGCTAGCATTATTTTATTTTATGTAAAAATCCAGGTATCTGTGATATTAGAAAAGGCAGGCTGTCTCACAACATTGACCTCTGTCCCACATGATAAGCAGTGCTCATCTCTCTATTTTTTTTTTTTGGTCCACCCCCAGTGGTGCTCAGAGCTTACTCAGTCCTGGTTCTTCACTCAGGGGTCACTTCTGGCAGGACTCCGCGGACTATATTGGTGCCAGGATGGAAGCCTACTTGGCTGCAAGTGATGGGAACCCTCTACCTGCAGTGCCACCTCTCCAGCCCCTGGACGTCCTTAGAAGTTTGGCTTTTCCCCTTTATTATCAGTACTTGGTGCACATCATCAGTATGGCTGATTCCAATTCACTTGAGTCTCCCACATCAGGACCAGATTCTATTACTCTAACTTTATACCTTTACATTCTCCATTTTCTTTCCTTCCTCTTTTTTTTTTCTGTGTCCGAAACCTTCAGGGTTTGGGAGGGAGAGGGCTGACCCTCCAAACACAGGGCAAATACCTCCTGATATTCCCATCCCCGCACTGTCAATGACTGACCCTCAGGCTGTCCACGGACACTTTTGGAGGCAGGACACCATTTTCCATTTTCTTTTTCTTACACTTCAAACTCTTCCACAATAATTTTTGTTTTTGTGTAAATAGATCTGTATAGGCTTATAGTTTCTCATTCACATTTTTATCTAAGCAAGTTTTTTCAGTGCTCTCCAGTACATCAAAGAACTTTTTTTGTGTGCCTATTTAATGACAATTAACTTATCCATTCAATAAATAACTAGCAAGGTGGTAGTTCTGGAAAACAACAGACAAACATTCTTGGACCCCCTTCTCTGGTGCAGTTAAATTGAGAGAAATAACTAAATAATAAGCAAGATCAACTCAGAGAGTGATAGCTACTAAAACAAAACAAAGCAAAGTGGAATCATAAAAACTAAAGGACTCTTCCAATGACTGGATAAGTGTGGCTTCTAAGTATGCCATTTCATGTATAGTACACGACTAAAGGACTCAGAGTACTGGATTGGGAAAGTTCCTGTGAGATAATGACCTCAAAGATGAATGACAGGAAGCAGTAAGTCAGGAGAAGCAAGATGAGGTGACACAAGATGAGAAAAGGGTCTTTCTTTTTTTTCATAATTTTATTTATTTATTTTTCTTCTTATATTTATTTATTGAATCACTGTGGGAAAAGTTACTAAGCTTTCAGGTTTAAGTCTCGGTCATGCAATGATCAAACACCTCTCCCTTCACCAGCACTCATTTTTCACCACCAAGAACCCCAATACCCCCCTCTCACCCTTCCCAATGCCTGTGAGGCAGATGATTTCCACTTAACTCTTCTCTACATTGATTACGTTAATTATTTCGACAAAAGATGCACCATTATTGTTTAGAATCCCCCCCACAACAATCAGAATTGCTGAAAAGGCATTGTGAAATACTTTGTTTTCTATAGCTGGCTATGATTTTGGATTTCTTCAAAGAGCCAGACAATTACGAGATTGGTTTCTGTGCATCTGGTGTTATGGCTGTGCTGGAGAGCTGCTCGGGGAAGGGGCAACTCATGACCTCAGTAGGGCGTGAAGGACAAGCCCGTACTGACCCCCCTTTTCCATGAGACTGCAGTTGCCCCTTCACGGCCTGCTCATACCTGGCTTTCCTATAGGCTTTGAGGTAGTGGCCACCTTGCTGCCAGGAGGGAAAAAGGTGGAAGGGAGCAACACCCTTTCCCTCCCGGGGAGGCATGGCACCATAGTTTAACACATGGTCCATTCACTTTTCTGCCGCATGCTGCTGGGCTCTGGACTAAGTCCTTTTGCCTCTGGAGCCATGGCCGTGCCGAAGAGCCACTCATGTGGGGCAACTTGTGACCTCGGTAGGACGTGAAGGACAAGCCGGTACTGCCCCCCTTCCCATGAGACTGCAGTTGCCCCATCACTCCCGACTCATACCTGGCTTTCCTATAAGCTCTGAGGTGTCGGCCACCTTGCTGCCGGGGGTGGGGAGGTGTGGGGAGGTGGAAGGGAGAGACATCCTTTTCCTCCCGGGGAGGCATGGTCCATTCACTAAGAAAAGGGTCTTTCGACAATTCATAACGTTGGGAAGACAGATGCCCGGCAAACCAGAGAAGCCAAAGGTGAGGTAAGAAAAGCAATTCAGTCCCAGAAGGCGGAGCTTTGGGGAGCTATTAAGGGATTTAGGTTTTCCTGTACATTCAGTGACTTGCTAGAAGGTGGCCAAGGAAGCTGTTCGGAGGCTGCGGTAGAACTTGTAGTGGCAGGTGAGGCTTTGGACCAGGCTGGCAGTAGAGAGATTCAGTTAGATTTTTCTCGACTATAGTCATTTTACCCTGAGTTCTCTGATATTGTGTATTTTACATCCAAGAGATTATTTTTCTCATTATACAGACTTGAGTGTATAATTATCTTAGAGTCAGGAAGTTACGGATGAGTGAATTTTGAACAGCCCAAGTCTCAGTGTACTCAAGGATTCAAGGACTCATTTCCTGACTCAAATATATCATTTATTAAAGATACGCTATTATTTTATGTACAAGTAGGAAATGTTCCTAATTAAATAGAATTCAAGGCCTTCTTAACATTCAGAATGCATTATGCACTTATTGAAAGAACATTTCAACATTCCTTAAGCAAATTATTTTCCAGAGTTCTGATTTTACTATTTTATGGCAAAAAAAATATACTCACTGTAGACCTAAAACATATTGTATTTTTAAAGAATATATTGAGGAGCTCTCCGAGAGGGGCGGAGGAATCGAACTCGGGTCGGCCATGTTGGCCGCGTGCAAGGCAAACGCCCTACCGCTGTGCTATCGCAAGCTACCGAGAGTATTCGATATGCCAGACACAGTAACAACAAAGTCTCCAATGGAGACGTTACTGGGCCCGCTCGAGCAAATCGACGATCAATGGGAGGGCCTTTATCTTTACCTATATTGAGGAGGGTGGGTTGTGTTTCCCTCTCCACCCCGAGCAGAGCCCCGGCAGCCGAAGACCTCCAGTTTCAGCCACAGCCATGCTTAAGACCACTCTTCACACGTTTGGATGAGCCTCGCACATGAAGGAACCGGCCAAGGAACCCAGGTGGCAGGACCCAGGGCATAGATCTCCAAGCCTACTCTGATTGGGACTGGGGCCTCCTCCATCCAGATCCCCCATCTTCCAGTATGTAGGCATTACACCCAACTGCCCCCGGCACCGTGTAATCCCATCAAGGACCAAGATCCAGGGACTATAAAACCCTGCTCCCGGAAGCACGCAGCTGCATTTGCAGCCGCGCAACATCTTGTCATCTAGTTCTTACTCTGGAGAACCTGGCAGGCTACCAAAAGTATCCTGCCCACATTGCAGAGTCTGGCAAACTCCCCGTGGCATATTCAATATGCCAAAAACCAGTAACAAGGATGGGTCTCATTCTCCTGACCCTGAAAGAGCCTCAAATGTGGCACTTTTTAAAATCTCAGGGCTAGGACGAAGAAGACGTTACTGGGGCCTACTCGAGGCAATCGATGAACAACAGGATGATAGTGATAGTGATATTATAATCAGCCATCAAAATCAGGACATGTGTCTTCAATTATCCACCTAACTCAAGTGAAATGACATAACAGTATATAATGCTTCTTCCACATTTCTGAATTTAAAACTCTGACTTCTGGGTCTGGGGCGATTCCATCCATGTACCCCATGTAGTCCCCCAAGCCTGCAAGGAGTGATCCCTGAGGACAGAGTCACAATGAAGCCCTGGACATTGCTGGGGCTGGCATAAAATTTTTTTAATGGTATGAATATGTCTCACATGTGTGAGGCTCTGAGTTGTATTTCACTCCTGGTACCACAAAAATGAATAAATACATAACTAAGTAAGTAAAGGCCCTCCCGTTGATCATCGATTTGCTCGAGCGGGCCCAGTAACGTCTCCATTGGAGACTTTGTTGTTACTGTGTCTGGCATATCGAATACTCTCGGTAGCTTGCCGGGCTCTCCGAGAGGGGCGGAGGAATCGAACTCTGGTCAATGAATGACAAGACCTACTGGGGTGGCTGTAACGTGATATATACAGTTGTGGAGGTAAGATATTTTACATGTGAAATTTAAAGTTCTTAAAACATGAGCTACCATAATAATAATAATAATAATAAAAAGGACAATGACAACTTAACTGTCATCCTATATGCGCCATAGCAGCCAACATTTGGAAGGCATATCATTTGTAAGACACACCCTAATTTTAAAGATGCTGAAGTATGACCACATGACATCTTATTATCTCATTCTTACTTTGGACAAACTGGCAGGCTACCGAATGTAAACTGCCCACATGGCAGAGTCTGGCAAACTGCCCGTGGCGTACCCAATATGCCAAATACCAGTAACAATGATGGGTCTCATTCTCCTAACCCTGAAAGAGCCTTGAATGTGGCACTTTTTAAAATCTCAGGGCTAGGGCGAAGGAGATGTTACTGGGGCCTGCTCGAGGCAATCGACCAACAACAGGATGATCGTGATTGTGATCGTGAAAGTAAGACTAAAATGTACATCTTATCATTGATGATATGATGTAGTAATAAAAAAGTTTTTTCCTTGCCAGAGAGACAGTTCAGCGGTTGAAGCACTTGATGCGCATCCTTCCAACCCTGGTTCAAACCTCCAGTACCATCTACGTTCTCTGAGCAGTATCAGGGATGGCTCCTGGAACCAGGCTAAGATTACGCACAGAGTTCTCCGGGGGTGGCCAGCATACCCCCTCCCCCCCAAGAAAAAAAGTTTCTTAGAAAGAAAGCAAGATTATAAATCAGGCTACTTGATTGATTTTGACTTTTTTATTTAAAAAAAAGTTGAGCTACTTGATTGATTCTGATGTTTTATCCATAGCAATTTCTTCCCTATAATCAGAAGGCTTTCACCAACCACGTGTTTCATACTTACCCCCATAAGCACAAACATACTTTATGTCATGTACACATATTCAGATTTTGCTCAAGCGGGCACCAGTAACATCTCCATTGTGAGACTTGTTACTGTGTTTGGCATATTGAATACGCCACAGGGAGCTTGCCAGACTCTGCCGTGTGGGCAGGATACTCTCGGTAGCTTGCTGGGCTCTCCGAGAGGGGTGGAGGAATTGAACCCAGGTCGGCCTCGTGCGAGGCAAACACCCTACCGGCTGCGCTGTCACTCCAGCCCACATATATAGATAACATTATTTAAAGAGATTTTAAAATGGGTTGAAAAATCACTTTTCTTCTCATTTATTGAAAAGTGTTTTGAGACCCAGTTCAACGTCTCACTCCACAGTTTCTCATCATACATGCCCTTTTAAAGCCCACGTGCTGGCTTACAGCTAAGTTAGTTCCACACTCTTACCAACTTTCACAGGAAGGATGCCTGCCCCTAGGATAGTCTGGGTTTCCCATCTTTCAGATCAAACTCAAGAAATCCTTCTTATTAAACGTAGAAGAACAAAGCTTAACTGGGTCAGAAAATCACCTCTGTTCTCAGATCTCCACTCTTGAAAAACAAACCTCCTCCATTGCTAAAGAATTCTAAAGTTT